CCCCGGGGCCGAGCGGGAGTTGGGCCGGTTCCCTGTCCCCAGGCGCTGCCTGTGGGGCCGGGCATCAGCCTGCGTGTCTCCTCCAGGACCCGCTGCCCAAGCTGAAGGACCTGGCCTTCCTGAAGGACCAGCTGGAGAGCCTGCAGCGCAGGGTGGAGGACGAGGTGCAGGCGGGCGTGGGGCAGGTAAGGCGCTTCCCCTGCCTGCCTTGCCACCCATCTTGAGGGGGCTTCATTAAAAAAGAAATCCCTGGGGCACGTCCTTGCTCTGCATTCCCCACACGAGCCCACCCTGCCTGGCGGCCTCACTCTGCTCTTTTCTACAGGATGGCTCTCTGTTGGCCTCGCCCTTTCTCAAAGGCTTCCTGGCAGGCTACCTGGTAGCCAAACTTCGCTTCTCGGCTGTCCTGGGATTCGTGGTTGGGACCTGCACAGGGATATATGCTGCACAGAACTACGCTGTCCCCAACGTTGAAAAGACAGTCCGGGACTATATCAGTTCACTGAAAAAAGGTCGGGACTAGCAAGGAGCCCTTTGGCAGCAGTGACTGTAGGAATGGTGCTCCTTAGTTAGCAGGCGCAGAAGATTCATAGGGCTTTCAGAAGCACTTTCAGAACGTACACAGTTCTTTTCCACTGGAAAAGAGCTTTACATCACATCATTGCAAGACATCAGCAGGTCTGGTCATGGGGTATTTATTAGAGCATCGTGACAGCAGTGATCACTCCACTAACCCACAGTAGCTTGGAAGCATCAGTGGCCAACAGTTTGCCAGCTGCCTTTTCCCCTCACCTCTCTTCCCATGCCCCTGCAGACTGAAAGGCTGCCTGTGACATGTCACACTCACCACCCGTATGCCCTTCCACCAAGTGCACGCTTTGCCCTAGGAGCATGTTTTGTGTGACTTCTTGGGTAGGCTTGTAGCTCTCTTCCTAATGAAAGACAAAACGATTCTTTTCCACTGCATCAGCAATGTAGCAGGTAACATCCTGTTTTAATCAGGCTCATTAAATTCATGGTATTTGATCTCTTCTTTAGTGTTCTAGGGTGAGAGTCTGTCTGGCCTCTCTGCGCTGATAGCAGCTCGCCCTTTGCTGGCTACTGCCTGAAAATGGTGATGTTTGGTAATGCTGCTGGCTCTGCACACTGGGTGCTACGGAGGGGACTGTGGGGACTGATGCTGATCTTGTCTGTAGCCATATACGGCTCTCATGCTCCCCTCCTGACCCTCTGCAAGGTAGATGGGATGATCCCCTTCAGCTCCACATCCGTCGTGGTTCTTGTTGAGCTGACAAAACTGGTGTTTTCCCTCCTGTTCCTGCTGGCCTGGGACCGGGACCTGTTGGGAGTCACCGTGTCGTGGCGCCACGTTGTCCCCTTCGCCCTCTCTGCATTGCTCTATGCTGCCAACAACAACCTGGTGGTTCATATGCAGCTCTTCATGGATCCCAGCAGCTACCAGATCTTGAGTAACTTAAAGATCGTCAGCACCGCGCTCCTCTACAGTCTCTTCCTGCGCCAAAGACTCAGCATGCGCAAATGGCTGGCTCTCTTCCTGCTGGTGGCTGCTGGGGTGAGCTACAGCTGTGGTGGCCTGCAGGACCCTGGCAGCCCCTCCAAGATGCAGCTGCACATCACGCTGGTGGGCTTGTTGCTGATCTCAGTATACTGCTTGATATCAGGCTTGTCTGCTGTCTACACAGAAGCCATCCTGAAAACCCAGGCGCTGCCTCTCAGCCTTCAGAACCTCTTCCTTTACTTCTTTGGCGTCCTGCTCAACTTGATTGGCTACTTCTGGAGCAGCACAGAGGGCAGCTTCTTGGAGGGCTTTTCCTTCTGGGTGCTAGTGATTGTGGTCAGCCAGGCCTTGAATGGCTTGATCATGTCTGTGGTCATGAAGCACAGCAGTAATATCACCAGGCTCTTCGTGATCTCCTGCTCTATCCTGGTCAACGCCCTCCTATCCATCACTCTCTTCAACCTGCAGCTCACCTTCCTCTTCTTCGTTGCCGTCTCGTGCATCGGCCTCGCTGTTCACTTGTACTATGGGGTCACATAGCTGCTGCCTTCCTGCCCTGCGTGTGCCAGGGCCGGCTTTGGTTGTTCCTCAGGGGTGTTTAGCGCTGGGGCTGGCATCAGAAGCACAGTGGTGCTCAGCCATCGGCCTCCCCACCCTACTGTTTGCACAAGTCCTTACTGGTGGGTGTGTGCAAGACCCGGGAGGAGGAGTCCTGAGGAGGGAGTACCCTGTTTCCAGGGGGGAAGCTGAGCCCTGCTCCAGCCCAGCTGGGCTCTGTGCCACGGGGTTCAGTGTGGTTGGGTGGGCCCAGCCTCAAAGGTGGGTCCCGAGCACCTCGTTCATGTGGCTTGTTGCATTCTCAAGCTGCTTCCCCCCTCTTCCCCACACCAAAGAGCGCACCCATTCCTTGTGCCTGTAAGTGGTGATTAGCTCTGCTGTGCTGGGTGCTCTGCGCACAGGCAGCCCCGCTGCACAATGGCTGCCAGGCCACCGTTGGTCTGTCGCTGTTTCGACTCTTCTGGATGGAGCTTCCCCATGTCAGGGGGACCACATCCATCCAGTGTGCCCAGGTGATCCCCAGCCCTTGCCTTCAGGGAGCCTCGGCGCTGGGGGAGGTGACCCTCACTGGCCTGTGTCCCCTGTGCCCCTACTGAGGTGGGGAAGACGGTTTATCCCTCGGGGTCTAGAGATACCGGCCATCTGCACCAGGCTGGGTGCTGCTGCCTGGAGAGCCTCATGCCACCTCTCTGGTTGCCCAGCTCAGCCCTTGTCCCAGCCCCTGGCTGAAGGGCTGCTGTCCTTAGGCCCCGTTTCTCCTTCTCAGGCATGGTGTCACTGCTCCCTGCAGAGCAGATGGGGAATGGTGGGATGTGGGAACTGTTTCACCTGCTCCCCAAAAGGGAGTCAGTACCTGAATTTGTACCAGTGCTGTGGCTAGTGTGTTCCTGGCAGGCAGAAGTCACTGCTGGCACTGGCCATGGTTATTAAAGTTGTGGTTGAAGAGCACACGTGTGTCTGTCATCCCTGCAGGAAGGCATCTCTTTTGCTTGGTAGAGGTTTGGGGGCCAGGGGCATGTCCGAGCCTGACAATACTTATTGGTGAAGGGAAACCCGCTGTCTTCCACGTGGCAGCAGCCCAGGAGTCACCAGCCCTCCCACCGTGCCTGCTCTGCTCCTGTTGCAGGGACATGTGCAGCAACAGAGCAGGTTTTTTCCCATGAGGGCAGAGGGGTGAACTCCTTCTCTCCTGCCAGCCAACACCCTCTCTGGGGCCAGGGTTCTGCAGGGAACAGCTCTCTGCAGCTGGAGCAGGCAGGACGCGAGGACTTGCCCTCTGTAACTTTTAGCTGGAGCTGGCCAGTCCCCTGGCATCAGGGCTGGTGGCTCGCTCCTGAGTGGGGGTGTTGAGGTGGCAGGGGTCTGCAGGCACCCCATCCTGCCAGGGCAGCAGTGACCACCACCCTGGGGTGCTGGCTCAGGGTGTCTGTGTGGCAGCATTGGCTGAGCCCAGCCATCTGGCTTCCTGCAGCTGCTGGTTGTGTGCAGCGAGCTCCACAGCATCCCGCAGCACCTCCTGCAGCAGCGCCCGGTACCGCCAGTCCAGTGCCTCCCTCTGCTCCTCTGCCAGGCGCTGCTGGTCCCGAAGAACCTGCAGGGACACCTGGGGTTGCCTGGCATGGCCCTGGCAGCCTGGAGGTGCGTCCTCAGCCCTCCCTGCCCACCTGCATCTCCTGCCGCTGGCTCTGCAGCAAGGCCTCCAGGTCCCACTCGGCCGCCTCCCGCTGCCTCCGTGCTGCCTCCAGGCTCAGGCTCAGTGTGGCCACCTCCTGTTGCCAGCGAGCTGTGTCCCACTGCAGTGGACAGGGATGAGGACAGGGCTGCTCTGGAGTGTCTCTGCTCCCTGGGAGAGCAGAGCCAAGGGAGGAGAGCCTGGAGCCCACGGTGATGGGCTCTCTTCCTATGCCCACCTCCCTGGTCACTTCCTGGCCTGGTGCTGCCCCATCCCCAGGCTCTCGCTGGAGGAGCCGGCAAGCCCGCAGCCGCTGCCTCTGTGCCTTGGCCAGAGCATACTGGACCTCCAGGGATGGGCAGGGCTGCTCCTGGCTCCCTGCCTGGCAGAGAGCAGAGCCAGCTCGGGCAGCCTGGGGCCCCAGTGCAGCCCGCAGCCGCTGCCTCTGTGCCTTGGCCAGAGCATACTGGACCTCCAGGGATGGGCAGGGCTGCTCCTGGCTCCCTGCCTGGCAGAGAGCAGAGCCAGCTCGGGCAGCCTGGGGCCCCAGTGCAGAGGACTGCAGGCCCTGGGTGCTGCCCCTGCCGAGGGGCAGCGCCCAGGGACCCAGTGGGCTCCCACTCACCGTGTCACCCCTGGTCAGTGGCGCTTTGCTCAGTGAGGGCTCCTCCAGCGAGTGCTGCCCTATGTTCCCCGGGGCTCGGCTGTCCCCTCCCTGGCTGCTCTCACTGGCACCTCTTCCTGGGCGGGGAGGGGAAAGGTGGGTGAGTGTGATGTCATGGGGCTGAAGAAGGACACTGCGCGAAGCTGTTTCTCACCATGTAGAGCGATGCTCTGTGCCCACATGTCAGCCACCCAGGTGTGGGGTGTGTGCCTGTCCCAACGCTTCAGACCTGCTGGCTCCAGGCTGGCACTGGTCGGGGGTGTTTGGGTCCCAGGTGCTGTGTTCCCTGCAGAGACCCGGTCCTGTGGGAGTAGGAGGAGACACTATGGGGACGCAACCAGGATTCAGGGCTTTTCCCGTGCCTGGGTTGTCCCT